CCATCATCCACTCCCTCCCGGGTGGAGGAGAGGGCCGCAAGGAAGGAAGCCACTCCCGGCCCTCCTCCGGCTGCTGCTCTGCCCTTTTCGGCTAGAAGGGGCTTCACCTCACTTGGCCTGTTGGCTGAGGGCACAGAGGCGGTGGGGTGGCCTGCCCTTGCCAGCCTCCAACAGCCTCCAGCAGGGGGAATGTGAGGATCCAGCACCTCAACCTCGCTTTGTGCAGCCGGGGCACCAGGTGTGGCCCTACCTCGGGAGGCCTTTCTCCGTCAGTCTAGGCAATCTCTAAAGGGAGGGAGGGGGGGGGGGCTAGAGAGGCTCCTTCCCCAGACACGCAAAGCCCATTTCACTCCTAAACCAAAGACCAATTTGCTCTGCAGCCAAAGAGGGAGAAGCTCTATACAGTCAGTAAAAACATGACCAGGAGCCGACTGTGGCTCAGATCGTCAGCTTCTCGTTGCAACATTTAGGCTTAAATTGAAGAAAGTAGGGGAAAGCACTAGGCCGCTCAGGTATGAGCTAAATCATATCCCTGACGAACGTAGAGGTGGCAAATAAGATTTAAGGAATTAGGATAGACAGGGTGCCTGAAGAACTATGGACGGAGGTTCGTTGTATAAGAGGTAGCAACTGAAACCATCCCAAAGAAAAAGAAACGGCTGCCTGAGGAAGCAAATAGCTGAGGAAAGAAATGAAGAGAAAGGCAGAGGAGAAAGACACACCCAACTGAGTACAGAATTCCAGAGAAGAGCTAGAAGAGGGAAGAATGCCTCCTTAAATGAACAGTGCAAAGAAACAGAAGAAAACAAGAGAATAGGGAGGACCAGAGATCTCTTCAAGAAAATTGGAGACGGGCATGATAAAGGACCCAAATGGCAGGGACCCAACAGAGGCAGAAGAGATTAAGAAGAGGCGGCAAAATTACATTCTATACAAGAATGAGCTTAATGTCCCTGATAACCAGGATGGAGTGGTCACTGAACTCGAGCCAGATATTCTTGGTGGGGAAGTTAAATGGGCCTTGGGAAATCTGAGCAACCACAAAGCTGGTGGAGGTGACAGTATTCCAGCTCAGCTATTCAAAATCTTAAAAGATGAT